GTGCTTGGGACAGACAAATGATTCCAGTTTACGAAGGACGGAAGGTGGAACAGAGTCAAAATCCGATGAAAAATCTTACAGACTTCGCAGATGCGTCCAAAGATTCGGAAACGTGATGAACGAGGGAGGCAACAGCATCCAAAGTGAACCCGTTTGACTTATAAGCGAACTGGAGATGGTCTTCAGGGGTACAGCAGGAAGCAGAAAGGTGTTTGAGAATGCCACGTTCTACCAATTTAAGAACGCATGACGTTAGAGCAATGGGACGGAAACGTTTAGACAGGGTGCTGGATCTGCACTGTTTTGGAATGGGAATGATCGTGACGGGTCTCCAGCAATCGGGAATAGAATATGAACTAGGTGACGTGTTGAGGATAGAAGTAAAAGCATCCGTTAGAGCCAGGTAATTCAAAATATACACCATCATCACACTAATTCGGATCGATTTTTACCGTCACTAACGCAGTGCACAATTCATGATTAGTTATTTGGAAGCTGCTCATATTTCCTTATACAGTCATCTATTGACCAATATATATCAAACGAGAAATTATTTAGGCCAACCTCCATTTCCATTCGTGTATAACTGATCACTCCTTGCATTAAACCACTTCCATCCGAACATGCTCTCCACGATAAAAACGAAATGTACCTTTTAATCAAAGTCGTCCGGCGATTAGCATTGCTGGAACGCACATTCCGACTCACCTACTATTTGCCCCCGGTTTCTATCCAATTGTAGTCTCTCTTGTGGTGCAAAATCGAAATGGTCTTTTTCGCTGTCCGTCCAGTACAACGAGGGAACAGATCGTATGGCGAAAAGACGGCGAACAGATAATGGGAAACCCGAACAAGTATACACTGTCAGATCGCGGACACTTACTAGTATGTTCATTACTGAAAGTGATTGATCACAGAAGATAGATAAATTCTAAAGACACCAGACTTATTTTGACATTTTTCTTGTGACAACTGCATCAGGCTTTTATTGTGAATTCCATATTTTTACTTCGATTGGTGCGATCCATTTAAAATTAAGCATCACATGTGAGACACATTTTCAGTTGCCATGTCATGTCAACGTGGTCAGCCACGCCACCCATAACATTCCGATACATGATNACAGTACCGAGGATGTTGGATTTTACACTTGTGAAAGGAACGGACAAACAATAAAACGCGTTTGGATGATAATGATACGTAAGTGTAAAAGATCCAGTCTCTTTTTTGAAAGGTGAAAGATATTCGTTATCATACTGAATGGAAATTAGCCAACAATACTCGAGTAGAATGACTTTAGACCGCAAAGTTTGACCGTTCCTAATTGCTTGTCTACATTTTTCTTATCAATTTCCAAAATACAGAAATTGATCTGCCACGTAATGGCAACCTTTCGGTCTACTCATCTTTTTTCCTGGTCCTCTAGATTGTATAAGGGGCAAGATCAACGTATTTTCGATCAATTAGCATCAGACACCGATAGCGTAAAGTTACCAACATTACTCACCTTCAATTTGCTGTGCAGAAGATAAATTATTATTAATATTGTTGTTGTTGTTAACATCAGTGCTTACTCGATTAGCACGCAAATATTGGACTTAAAATATGACATAGGGCATTTGAAGACAACCATCAATATCAGGTAAACCACAAGAGCATAGTGCATACGCTTCGGCTTGGCGTCTTGAGTTCAATGTGTATAAACACATGAAGAACGATTTCAGTACAGTACAATGGAACTTCGTGAATATTTGCGAATAACCAATCGAGTCTTATGGGATGAATGCCAAATCAAACTTTAACCTGGATGGAAGCCATGAATTGGTGGGAGGCTTTCAACTGGAGTTAATAGATTGTCATCTGTGTCTCCTTTCGTTTCTGTCGAGCCAAATGCACTGACTGACTATCACTGAGGACGACACCTGAAAAACCATGAATTGGCGATTTAGTTCGGTCCTGGTATGAGCTGTTTGGCCCAGTGGTAACGTATACGTCTTCCATGGAATGGGTCCGGAGTTCAAATCCCAGACGGGATGTAGATGTGCATTACTGTGGAGCTCTAATAAGAGCGAAACTGGTTCCAAGTGTACGGTTCGAATTGATGAAACGAGGATTGGGTGCGAAGGTGAAGTCTCAAGGATCGCCTGTTCAAATCAACCAATAAAATAATACCGTTAGAATTTCAAAACATTCGCCTTGTCTTTCAAAAATATAGCATGAAAACTATGGTGTCATCTAATCTATCACAGAACGCCTTTTCCAATGTTCGCTTTCAATAACACCCCGAGCGCCGTTAGTGAACCTTGCTATATCATCAAATTGAAATTTGATTCACATTACGTGCACAACTCAAACTTGTTCATGACCACGTGACGCAAAGTCAATATTCGTGATATACTATTTGTCGAATTGACACTCAGATGCATCTCAAATTTTACCAACTACTACTTTTTCAGCAATCTTATTTCCGGTATCAATGAAGAGATTCGGAGCGGTGAAGGGTTCAAACATACAAGTTCCTTGTTGTTTGCCTTTCGCCAGTTTTATGAGTCCACTCTTTTGGCAAATCACGGAGTACAGAAGACCGACTTATTATAAGTCAATTCAACCAACTGCTAAACCAATATTGGTAAGAATATACAATATATAATGTACGTAACGGCCTGAACGAACCAACATGTCGCTAACAATAAGATTTGCTCTAACTGTGGTCCTTGTGCTTTCACGTCCACGGAATGAGCTTCACATTGATGAGAAAAACCTTGACCCATTTTGATGGATCAAATGATATTGAACCACCATACAAATCGATCAAAAACTTCATGATATGCTTATTTTTATATAAAAACGCACCTATCCTACTGGTTAATACCTTTATAATGTTAGAATGTACAATTTTTCTGATCATTTCAAAATCAATTCAGGAAGTTACAGTCCCGTCCCAACCGACAGCTTACAGGTGCAACGGATTGTTGAATAACGAAGAGCTTACCTACATACTTGAGGCTCACTTCGACTTGGAACCCCAGAGAAACTTATCCTGTCCCTACGGAGTATTTTTTGACCATTACGAGAGTAAGTAATCAAGCAGACTGAAACCTAAGCGTTTGGAATTAGTTAAACTCACTAGATTTACATGCCCAGCTTTCCCCGTGAGGAAAGAAAGTCAGATATATGTCGAATTGTTCAAACAGCATGCCATTGCTCTCAAAAGCGATCCATTCAATCAATTCTCAAACGAAATTTAATCGCATTGTTTGGAGTGCTGGAATGTACTAATCAGAAATATTTCAAATCTCCAAGTGAATTGGGAAATTAAACGAAAAACAAATTATGATGAACAGTGAACGCATCAAAAAATGTTGAATTTGACAAAACCCAACGTTCATTGCAGAAATAATAAAACCTGATGCACATTAGCTCTGAGAAGACAATGAAATGTGAAGCGCTCTGAACTTGAATCTAGAAGATCGTTTGACGTGACTTCAACTCAGCAAAGAATGATTTCTGACTAAGTACGAAATATAATAATAATAGAATAACACATGTTTATTTAGTTATTTATTGATCGATTAGAATTGACCATCTTTCATTTAATCAATATGAATTATCCCACAAATACCCCTGACAGGTAATTGTGAGTTAATGCGAATTATCAATTCAACCTGGTAGGTTTGTGGTCATTTAGCCCTTAATCTGCATAGAAGATCTCATTGGAGGCTTTCGAGTGGGATTAACATACAGTCAGATGTCATCTTTCATTGCTGTCGGGCTAAAATGAACTGACTGACTACCTCTGAAGATGACATCTGAACAAACATGAATTGGCGATTCGATTCAGCCCTGGCATGAGATGGTTTGAACAGAGGTAACACATACGACCTGCATGCGATGGGTCCAGAGTTTGAACCCAGGACGGAACTGTGGATATGCATCTCTGATGAGCTCTCATAAGAATGAAAGTCAAGTTTAGTACCCTCGAGTGCATGATTGACAGGAAAAGCTGAAGAATATGCTTGAAGCTGATGTCTGAATACTAGTCAGTTCTAATCAATCAATTAATCAATCATTATTACATATCACTAAGCGGCGAATATGAGATAAGTTACACAACACGGATCTCCATATCGATTTTATTGACGCGCACTCTGAGAATGCATGTAGCGCATTTTGCCCCAAGCACCGAAGTCCACAAGGTGATTTCCAGCGGGAGAAAAAACTCAGTACATTTCTATGTGCCTCCCGAAGGAGTATTTGATACCATCGCATTTCCCACGTTAAATATCCGTTTTTGGCAATTTGTTGTGATTAATATCATATCAAATAATTTGATTTTAATCCACAACAACTGCATTATTATGAGAGTTAGAGGACGAAGCAATGCATCAACAATTCCTCGGAAGTCACACGTGATATCATGATGCCCCGGGACCAGGTCATCTCCGATATAATGGGCGTTTCACTCTCTAGACAAAAGAAAACTTACAATTCGACCATCATGAGGCATTAAGCTGGAAAGTGGCATAACAAAGGAATTTGTCTTGGTCCATAGTCACCAGATCAGTTCCATTGCTAACTCCCACCAGATTGTCCAAGCCGTGTTTCTCATCTTGTACCTGACGTTTTCGTAAATTGTTTCTCTCCGACCCTATTACCATATAAATACCAGGATGTTATTAACTGCTCTTTATTTGTCATACATACTTCCATTGACCAGAGAAAAGGTCATTCAAAGTGATTGGGGTGTTCAAAGAAAACGGTCAGAATCTCGCCTACCACCCGAGTATGAACGACTTGTCCGCGGCCGAGAGAAAACGACTGAACAAAACAATCTGTTCAAATGTGAGCACATTTTTTGTCGTACTACAACACATCAACAATAACTTTTTCCGGATATCCGTGCTTTGTACAGTTCAGTGCTTAAATGTTCGGCATTTGGGCACCGAATCGACATTTGGTTAAGCGTTTCTGGTTGCCCTAATCTCTCTTCGAATATCTTCCTTCACAAAGCACGGAGGAGCTCATAGAAATGACTGTATGGTGAAACAGGAAGCTGCATGAGTGTGGCCCATTCGAATTTCCAATTTTGATGGAACGTTGCTAATTATCTATTGAGATGCACCGAGACATCCTCGAGTAAATAAATCAATTTAGTCCATGCACGGCGTGCAAACATTGATGCACAAATATGCAATTCCATACTATTCCTCCCCATAATATTTTGGATTTCAGTTGAAAAAATTACGAAAGGATTTGGTACTGAAATATGATTTTGAAATTTGGTGCCATGTGTTTGAGGTCCATCCAATCACGAACCAGGTCATCGCAGAGATCACTGTGCGGGAGCACCACTTGGAAGCGCTCGGTCATTCTCATGGTACTAACGGAGAAGCACGATTTGTGCAACAGGTCTTCGGAGACACAGTCGGGCAATCGAAGAAATTTACGCTTGAAAAATTGGACAGCGGTTCGTCAGATATTTCCGATAAGACTTGCTTTGGTCAAATGAAAGCATAGATTTTGTCCGGTAAAATCTTCTATTGAACATGGATTATGGCGCGTAAATGACGTATAAATCATTATCGATTGGCAAAATGCAATGTGGAACTAATAACAGTTTATACTTTTTGATTTTTCATGAAAAATGCAAACGGGCTTGATCATTCAGTTTATTGTACCGCCTGTGAAGTACGGCTTGTATCCTATCATATATCTTCACACTGTATAGGATAGTCTAACATGATTAAATGGGATAGCAACACTAGCTGACAGATTTCATACTGAGCACATTTGATTATGATATTTTTTTATTTCATCACAATCATTCGCTCTACCAATAAATTTTAATTTTTGAATTGAAACTGGGCATTTACGTTTTGATTTTACTTCGAATTCTTTATATTTCACAGAAAAGGAAATCAATTTAGGTGAGTTTTTGCCCGTTTAAATTGGTTGTGATACAGATTGAAACAGCAAAGTGTGATAAGTTGATTTTAATTGTTTAATTCAGTATGGAGTATAGAAAAATAGGAAGGAAAGTTTGAGAGTTGCGTGCATCTTCGGAAGCAGGGCCTAGTTAGAATGGAATAGAAGCCTCTTGGAATTGTGTTTCGGAACGACGCTCGTGACTATATGGTAGTACAGGTGTGTACACAAGACGCGGAAAGTCGACGGCTTGGTCCCTAGTAGCCTCCATCTTGTGGGCAGGTGATCAACTAAGGGGGATGTCACCAATCACTTTTCGCTTATTTGGAAGACAAAACTTATTCTGAATCAAATTGTTGGTTTAAAGGTAATGTAAACCATCTTGGCCATTGCATAGAAATGCTCATAGATTAGGTTTGTTTACCTATGGCTATTAATTATTCTGGTTTAGTTGAGTACTGCTGGAGAAATATCACCGTAGATAGGTGTAGTCGGTAACTGATGAACGCCTTTGTGCTGATCACACTGTACGTGCCAGTTTGAATTCTCGGTTTCCCTGCCGTCCGAAATCCATTTCAAGCGTTTGCTTGACTGGACCGGCTGAGTCGTATCTCCCTTAAGGTGAATTTTTAAGCCCATGAAGATATTCTAAAAAGGGTAGAACAATGCGCACAGGCGATTGCGAAATGTTATTTTCCCTCACATAAATGCTACTCTCGCTGTTGATATCCGGATGTACTATACGTTGCACACAAGCTCACAACCAGTGGTTATTTTTGTACGATCTGTGTAATCAGTAAAAATGACAACTCGCGTTAGCTGCAATTTGAATGGTGCTGTTCAACAGACTGTGCAAAAGCCTTTTTGTTAAATTGATCAACTATCTTCATGGCAACGATTGTCCTCGATTTAAACCACACAGATAATTCTGTCTCTGGGGTGACGCAACAAACTTTTTTTTTCTTGTTCACAACTAAGCATCTACTTAGTTGCGTCATCCGATAGTTGATTTGCATTCTGCTATCCACCTTATCCGATTCAATCTGTCTGTTGATGGATTAGTTAGAAAAATCAATACTATCTTGCCACGCTGTTTGTATTTTGAAAACACTTTTGGAAGCAAAACACAAGGAATAAAATAATGCTCTTCCCATGCACTTATGACTTCCAGGATATCAGACTGTGTTTATCGAGGGGAAATTTCACATTGGTGGGAACATTGTGAAACACCAAACCGCGGATGAAGATTTCAAAGGAGACTGGTTTATGAAAATGAATCAGACCGTTTGCGCTCAGGTAAGATGAATGCACCACATTTTGGCGTCATCAAGGCGATGCAAATCCGTTGGTGGCTCAGTGGCATTGTTGCAACACAACCGGTCACTCTCTTACGAGCGGTGGTGTGAAAATAGAGTACTTTTGCGACTGTGATTATTACTGATTACTTTACGGCGGCTCGCTCCTGGAAGAGGTTAAGCTGGCTTTATGGATATCAAGTGAATATCCGTGAAGCTTCTTGGGAGTTAGATACTAGACACGTCCCCAGCCTAACACGGCTTTGGGCAGAGGTGGCATCTGTAGCTTTTACACATTCAAATACTAACTGCAATGTAGCAGGCAGGTAGTGCATGTTTGTCGGTAGCTCTCTGGGGCAAGCGCATACACCATTGACAGGGATCCATGCATACCTGATGAGTAGGAACTCATTGCCTTGACTGTTGAGTCATGAAGGCGATTTCGCCCACCCAACACGTACGTTAAACACTGACTCACCGGGAGTTGAGCTCAAAATTAACATCAACTTGGTTTACCGCCTTTGCATTCAAACCACTTCTTGAAGTTACCGATGAGAGCTGAGCCTTTGTTGGAGACCAAAGAATTGAGGATCCCCCACAGGGGCCGAGACAGAGGTGCTACTCCTACCGGGTACTCCATAAACCCCGATTGTTGGCATTGCTAAATTCAGTAACGTACGAATGAAAGGAAGCTCACTTTTCTCGTGAGGAACAATTAGGAAAAAATAAATAATGAGACTAATAAATGAATAATAAATGGAACTCAACATGAAATAGATTGAATCATTGTGGAGCTTAAATTGTTAGATTTATTCGATATTTTTGCAGTGAAATCACGTGTTTGTCCCCCTTTGAAGTGGAACGAAATTGCAAAAGAAAAAAACCCATATTGCAATTTTGCAAGATTTATGTCCAGGACGATTTTGCTGCATCTCAAACTGCAGAAAATACAATATTTATATTGGGATGTAACCGGACAACTAAAAAAAGTAAAATACAATAAAACACAATAGGGGTATGGGTAAAACGACTATGTCACCAGAGTAAGGATAAACTAACATAAAGTTATCTCTTTGTTGAAACAAGGCGAATAGCAATCGCTTCAGCATTCTTGCTATTCGTGACTTGCAGGTAATCCGAAACGTCATGCTTTGGTCGATCTCGTGTTGCGTCATCAGAAGATGTTGGGCTTTGACTAATGACGGAGTCTTGTAGTTTCAATCGTTGTTCCTATGCGGCGGACCTGAACCGGATGGCGCATCTGACATTGGACCAAATTTTGAATGTGTTAAGCAATTGTCGCTCTTTTCCACTCACGTAGGTCGCTCCGCACCCAGATGAGAATTCGTAGATCAGATAAGAATTGACGTACAGAGGCAGACATTCTTTCACCGAGGGCGTGGGTATTCAATAGTTGTCCGATAGACACTTTGAGGGTCAGCTGCATAGTAGGTTCGAGCAATTGCCGCTCTTAGTCGTTTCTTTTATGAGCAAACAGCTTAGGCCATTACCTTTGAATTGGAGGTAAAACGTGACTCCTAAATTTGGAGCTAACGCAATCCTTTCTTTTACAATTCTTGGTTTTCTGTCTTTGTCAACAAATGCTTCAGGGTAAGCATTTTCTGCAAACATGTGCCAAAGGATTTGCATTTCTTATTTAATCTCATCTTCCGTGCAGGTTTGCCTCGTTCTGTCGAATAGCGTCCGAACAACACCATGTTTGTACTCCACGGGCACAAAGCTCTCGAATTGTAAATATTGACCTGTCCATGTCTCGTTTCAGCAAACGGATCGGGCCATTGTTCGATGTTTTCTTCGCCTCATGATGATGTCAAGGAAATGTAGTGTGTTGTTGGCTTCTACTGTTCTTCTTTCGTGGTTAAATATAAATTCCGGTAGCTCTCCAACAACAAAGTACCATCGCTCTCTTAAAACTGTAAATATCTCTTTCTATTTGGTGAAATTGGATTGCACAGGCTTAGCGCAAATCACAGTCATTGTGAATGCACTGAGCGTCAAAATAGTTGCCTAAATCAGCGCATCAAGTCACGATGCCACCTTCCGTTGTAACGAGATAATTTGTTACATGCAACTGCAACGTCTCTTACTCACGAACTCCTTTCATCTCAAGAACAAATTATTCGTTTCGTTCTCTCAGATTGAACAATGGCGGGTAGATGATGCACTGTTTGAAGAAATCCCGATCGCCTGTTCCCTCTACTCCGTGGATTTGAACGACTTGGTCGTCGTACAACTGTCCATTCTCGACCGGGATATTTGTGAGTTGGACATGCAACCGGACGAGCCTGTTGTGATTAAGGCAATTGCAAAATGGCTGAAACGGGTCAAACCAACCGTGGCGGGAAATAAATTTGTGGCAAAAGTAATTAACCCTGGTGAGTTATCACCCCCCCCCTTCCCACACACACACAAACACACCCGGAAAAAAATGATAATTTGTTCGTGAGGAAAGATTGTTTCAGATTGTTTCTCGCATTTTATACACGACATCATTACGATGTGTTCGCAAGGAAGAAGTTTATTTGTTTTCGTTTTCGCTCTTCTATAGGACGACACACGTTCATGCCGACAGTATTCGATGAGATTATCACTGCAATAATACTACCAGCAAGATTATCTACTTTCTCAATTTGTTTCATATAAGATGATAAAGGCTAAATTAATAGTAGTTGCAGAAGCTGAATGTTTCACATTGAACTTTATCTTTGGTTCATCCCCGCGTCAAGCTGTCGTCATATCGGGAAAACCAACGGAAAATGGCCACAGAATGCAATTCAATGAAAGTCACAGAATTCGTGGTTCTGCGGATCGTGAGCGGCTGAAATCACAGATAGCCGATTACGTAAGTGTTAAAACCAGACAGTGATAGATAAAACTGTTTTAACTAGTGTCCTTTCGCAGAACTCACATTGTTTATTATTGTCTGTCTGCCTTCTTCCAAAATAAAATAGATTCAATGGTTCTTCAAACACAATACGCCATACAAACAAACTCCGATCGATATGCGATTGATCAAACTCGACCGGCACACATCCACAGTGACAACGAGCCTCTTCAAGGATAATAAAGAATTATTGAAGGCCGGAATGATCCTCCAGCGAAGTTATAAAAAGATGTTGAAGAAAAAGAGAACTCGTCCGTTCAGGGAGTTTCAGTATAAGATTTCGAACTATGAACACGGTGAGTGCGAATAACTTTCCGACCATACAATAATAACTATATCTTACAGATTCAATATACTTCACTATCCAAATTTCACAAGCCCCAAAACAGTTTATAAAATCGAAGTAATTAGTTCATCTGGTGTGTAGGCGAGGCAATACTAAGCTTTTGGGGTTCCCATCAAATAGCTGCTTCGCATATGCCCTTGAGGCTCAGGATAGCCTTTCATATCTTAACTATCTGATAGGCGTATCCAGTCATGGAAAGAGTGAAATACAAGCAGTTGGAATTTGTTGAATAATACGGGCTACAAGTGGATGACAAAATATGGAGTTTAAAAAGGTAACATATCAAGTTTACAGAGCTTGACAATAAGAAATAATATAATGCATTTTTCTTTCATACTCATGCAACTCAGAGAGAAGGTTTAAGTTAGATTTAAACGTTCTGGCTAAAAACAGCGAACAACAGTTTAGAACAGATAGAGATGGAACATCTTCATCAGACGACTGAACTAGTACCCAGTAAAAACAAAACTCTTCCAAAATCTCACACAATGTCGTAAAATTGCAGCCAGCTGCAGTCATTGCATGTGGAATGCCTAACACGCTTGCGTTTAGTTCAACCATCGTGCTGTTTTTCATGGCTGAGTAACTCCATTTCCCCTCACAAACAATCACATTTTTTGTAGAAGTGATTAATCAACGCACACAGTAAGTTAATCATTATTTCATCCGAATGATCACTGGCAACTGAGTTCCGGACGGAGGTGAACAGTTTTGTCCGTACAACAGTTATATTTGTAGTGCAAAGAAACAGTCATGATTAAAGGATTGCAAGAATGTGCATAATTTGAATTAGTTACCATTAGTTACTAAAATACGAGATATCGTTTCATGTGTTTAAATGAACACTGCTTTCCGTGAACCGATTACTGTCTGTTCTACATGACAAGCTTCATGACGTAATAATAAGAATTTTGATGTTTTGGGTGGTGCCGCTGAGCGGGCTTCGAGCACAGCTTCTTGCTCAGTAGTATTCACTGGACACTTAGCGCCTCCAGCCCCAACACGATATACGGATATCTTACTTCATAGATGTGGCACTGTATTCTTATTGCAGCATGAACTTAGTACTTGTTTAATCTAGTTGAATATAGGTTTCCTGATTGTTCTGTACACATGTTTCTTACAGTCTGTGTATGATTAAACATTGCGTATCATTATTTTGGCTTCCCAGAGAAGTCACGTGGGAAAGCTAAAGCTCCACTTCGTTTTATCGATCTACAATGATATACATTACCTTTACTAATCATCGTTTGCCTACCGTAAAAACAATGAAATCCAATGCAATAATGCAACGGGAGAGAAAATTATAAGAGGGTAGTACAAATTGGTTCTAAAAAGGGAAACGATTCTGTCAACTGAAAGATGATGAATATCACAAAGTATTTTGTTTCGTTCAATTCTGCGGATGTCGAAATCTAAGGCTTGCCAAAATTTCATCCAGTTTCTGCATGTAAGAATCCACTATGGGCGCAGAAACAACTTGAGGTGGTGGCAAATTCCAAATACCGCACACTATGAGTGCTAATGAATGACACCGGCTCTCTGGCAACAGTTTCAGAGCACTAATTTGAATGACTGTCCTTAGAGATGTGTCGAGTGAACGGGTTCTACGTTATTTGATAGACCCGAAATCAAGGCCCCTTGAAAATCGGGGATGCTCTGTGGAGTACAGTCCCAATGTTTCCAGTCCTTCCACATCAGTCTTGGAATGAAGTTCACGGACCATCTCCGTGATCATCCTTTATGGATATTGTAGAATGATACGATCGCGTTGCAGCCATGGATTCCACAGCTGGATGGCGTACTCTATTTGAGGTCTAATGCGGGGTGATAACAATTGTGGATACAGCAGTTTAAATTTGACAAATATTCACTTTAGCAAACAAGCATGTCTTACAGCAATGGGCGATGACCTGTGGCAGAGTAACTAACAAGTTACGTCTTCTTGAACAACTACATCAAGCTCAGTTGCTTTCGAGGTAAACGGAAGTTGTTTATTTCCCAGGAAGTACAGAAATCGAGTTTTGTGGCGAAGATAAACCACGGTACATACAGAGGCATTGAATTCAATGTCATTTTGATCGACAATCAGTAAACAGCGCGAAGCGTCGTCTGAATCGCCAGCGAGTCTTCGGATTTCGTCACCGTTTTCAAAATGTTTGCATCCACTAAACACAACACCGCTTGTGCCCTGAGAATCTCAGTTGTATCGTTTATGAAAACTACAAAATGTTGAGAACCAAGCATGGATATCTGTGGAACTTCCTAGGCTACACCGACAGCATCAGAAAGTGACCCAGAATCGTGAACTGCCATCAGGCGTTGTCGAAGAAATTCTTCTATCCAACCCAATACAAATTACCGAATTTCATAATTGTGCAGGGCTGTCGTGCAAAACATTGCTGATTAAGGGATCAACATACCAGTCGTAACTAGTTGGGGGAATGTGTAAAAGCTTGTATTTATTTTGTGGGACTGATGTGCGTGCAGATTATTTTGTCGCGGGGTGGACACTGTGTGCAATATCAAATAAAATTTTGGGATGAAAGTGGTTGCAGACCTCAAAGTTGTTCGTCAGAAAAGATGCGACTAATTAAAATTGTGGGAATATCGTAGTGCAAGAGAGTGTCGTTTGAATTTGAATAGTGTTTGGGCAATCTAAATCAATAAACCGGTCGAAATGGCACACACTAGAAAAGGAAAATTTGAATGAATGAGAAAAGAAAGAGATAGATAAACAACCGATTTCCGAAACAAAATCGAGAAGGCAATCTCATTCAAAAACGCATCTTTACTATTATAAAGAATGCATCGATATCTGCGATCTAAAATAACATCTGTGTTGTGAAGCTACGAGGATGCGCTGATGACCAGCGGCTACCCCAGATAACCTATATTCCAGTTATACATTTGGATTACCCAGTCGTATTCGAATTGTACTAGTATTTCTATTTTTATTGATTTTTATTTTATTTGTATTTGGTGGATTCTGATGAATTCAAATTAAGCGATCCAGGTGCAGGTAGCTAAACAGCTGATTTGTAAATTCCACATACCTCCTAGGATTTATGTGGTTGATCCAAACTCAAAAATATGCTCTTAATGTGGCCTTGTAGCCAAGCTGTTTGTGTGCATGTGTCGAAAACCGAGAGCAGCGTACATGATTGCGTTCCGAACATGTATGAGGTTACGGATCTTTACAGCGTTCAAGAATACGACTATTGTGCTTTAATTTTGTGCCACACAAATCAGTTTGAAATATATAAAATGAACGTTATTCGTTCATGTGTGTTCCGTATAATTCCTTTGATTTTTTCAATGTCTACAGCATTAAGAAACCGAAACGAGTAGTGAGTTTCATAACCGATTTGATCAACTGTAGTTGATCATTTTGTTGGATTGAAATCTAAGACGTTTATGTTCTTTGATGATGTTTGATGTTTCTGTGCAAAAATATAAAGATTACCTGAGATTACAGCCTATCTCCAGGGGTCACATGCGAATGAAGTTCGACATTCAACGGCACTATATGCTGCCAGACTTGTTATAAGTTAACAGTATACAGGGGACCGACAAGAAAGATTATACAACCTATAACTATGTGCCACTGAACTTGAGTACGTGGTTTCCGATCAGATCAGTGGCCATATACTTAGATATGGCTATCTATCGTTCGTGCAGCAATCTGTCGTCAAAAGAAGCCGGCAAAATGTTGGTCCTGTTTGGTAGTGTCATGCGCCATTAAATGAGGGCATCAGCATGAATAAACTTCGGTTGTACCGAATGTAAGTTTTGTAAGCTCGTAGCTTACTCGTCAAAATCGTTGATGCTTAATCGAGCGAACATATTTCCTAAGAACAGAGATAAATGTACCGAAATGGGAAACATTTATGTCATCTTAAATCACATCTAACTAGATGATTCAGCTTGTGCCATTCAGCATCCATAAATATTGTTCCGATTCCAAAGTATATTTTCTATCATATAGAGTCTTTATAATAAAAATGTTGTGAACAAAACAGAAACCTCTTGAATTGATCATTAAGTTCAAACTATTCTTTTCACTCCAATATTCGTGAAGTTGAAGTGTGCAATTTTACGGATCATAAAATAATCGCGCTCTCGTGATAGTCTCCAGTGGAGAATAAATAATCTAGAGATAGACGGATATAGTTACCCGTTATTCTTGTCAAGATGGCTTGTGTAGCGAATCGGATCCAAGTGGAACAATGGACACCGACAGAATAGAATATCACGTTGTTTGGTGGTCTCGTTTTGCGAAATACCCTGTACTTATCTATTTCTTATTGTGGAATCCAAGTTACAGGACAGAAAGAAGAAGCAAGTGAGTTTCCTACACAACAAAAGCGTACTGGCAAGAGTGTGAACCAATACATCATCTGCATAGTACTATGACTAGAAACTCGTTCACGTTCTGAATGCGAGCGGAAACAATCTAATCTATAATCTGTACTCGCATTAGGATCAGCAACAAGTAGCTCTCAACAAAGAGGTCGTATTGTAATAGGCGCAAAACGAGAATATACAAAAACGTCACATTCGATAAAACAAACAAGCTCAGAGTCAAATCGGAATCCTCACCTCCACACTGCAGCTTGAATAAAGCTCCAATTTTTGCAATAATCCCGGCGTAGTTTGTTGAACAAACCATCGGACCTTCTTGATAATTCGGCCGTACTTTCCGCACCTGTACTCGAAGATATTTTGTTCTTTTTACCACGTGCCCTAACACAATGCTCTTTGATGATCCTCAATGGTTGCCACAATGATACACAATTTCTGGAAATTCCACATTTAGGAGAGTTATCAGAAGTACTTGGATTTTAATCTCAAGTATTCAACACGTATGACCTGGGCTACCAAATCAGAGTTATGTGATACAAAAGTAGATTGAAAACAATGTGATAAGGTTGAGCGACATTCCAAACATCTGAATGAATCGACAGAGAGCACAGGAATAGAAAAAGCTTGTTGAACATTTTACAATTTATCAGAAATTTTTAAACACCAGCAGAATTAAAGAAACCCACATATAAGTTCAGGTCGTCAGCGTACTCGGAGAGAAGTGTATAGCAGATAAATTGTCGAAATACGCAGAAAATAAGTAAAATAAAAACTTAATCACCTGTTTCGGAAGATAGACAAGTATCATTCAGGTCGAAGCAGGTTTTGGTATTGAGTGAATGCTTGAATTAAGCCACAAACAGCAAGTGATATGGAGGATATCGTCTAACACGGAAACGGAAAACTGTATAAATCCACCAATGAAGAATGAAACGTGATACTGAGTACGAAATGGAGCTTCCTATCAGTTGATTAAATATTTCCCTCTACTTAGAAAAAATATAGGAGAACATTAGGTAGTTGAACAGTTCATTGTTGTGCCCGAATCCCGATTGATCACAATGAACACAAGATATCACACGATGACACACAAGGAACACA